GGTCCCGCATCTACAACAACAGAAGCTTAAAACAAGCTGATGGAAAAAGGGTTATTGCATAGAGATATCACTGAATCACTCCTGTACCTCACAGCAAGTAGACTAGACATCGTGGTCATAGTTGGGTTCTGTACAAGGTTTCAGTTAAATCCAAAGGATTCTCATCTGAAGGATGGTGTATGTATTTTAAGATATCCTAGAAGAACATAGAACCTGGTTCTCTACTGTCCTACAAGTAATGGATAGGAAAAGCTCGCTTGAATTGGGACAGTCTCTGAGTTCCTATCTTGTCTCATGAGGCTCAAGGAAGCAGAATTCAATGGCACTCTCAACAGCTGAAGCAGATATGTATAATCAACATCTTGATGTGGTCAAGTACTGTGGACCAAGAAACAAAGTGCTATGGACCAAGCAACAAATTGGAAGAACTTGAGTCCAACTCAAGAGGGCCAACTACAGTGACTGTTGAAGATCAAGTTGCAGACATCTTCACCAAAAGCCCTGGGAAGAAAGCATTCTGAGAAAGATCGCCTTGCACTGGGGGATGATAAAACCCAACCGAGAACCTAGTTCCTCATTATTGGTTATGAAAGTCATAGTCAGGTAAAAGCTAGCTAAAGTGTTTTCTGGCTAAGTCTAACTCACCTCTATACCATTACAGGTAGACACGCACGATGACTACAAAAGCAGATGTTGCAGTGCATGATGAATAAGGGGATAAAACTCACTTGCTAGACCTATCAGGGAACCTATTTCTCTAACGCAGGTTAGTGGTTTCTTTGTTCTTTCACACACAATTTAAAATGGACAAAAAATAATGCCACATCATCATCAGCGTGATAGTCTTTTTAAAGTCGTGTCTCTTCAGCCAATACGTCACAGCCCAAATGTCACTCATTTTCTAAACGATACATCTCCCAAGCAAAAGGGTGCCGCTGTTTCAGAACGGGTCCCTCATCATAATTAAATCAACATCACAACCCCATCTCTTCCAAACTCAAGAATTTCCTGTTAGTTTTCTCTCTTCTCAAATCCGCAGTCCTTCGAGAATAATCTCATCATGTCTAAAAATCAAGCAACCTTCAGTGTGCCTGACAACACTGTGGTTGAGTCCGCACGAGTCAGTAGTTCAGAGGTGAACCTCTCTCCCAACACAATCACTAGTCCAAACCCAAAAGAAGAGTCTCCTCCACACTCCACTCCCTCTCCTACCCTCTCCGAGTCCACTCCTCATCTAAGCAAGTCTGAAGATGTCTGTCCTCCTCCAGTCTCACCAGTCAAACAGAGTCAACAGGGTGAATAAGGGAACCTCATTCAAGAACCTTCAACTCTATCCATGGCTGAGCACTTGAGTGAAGATCTGGTGATTAGTCATGAAAAGACTGAGACAAGTTGTGCCTATGTAGGTATCACTCCTTCATCTGTTGAAATTGCCATGGAACCACAAGAAAAGGAGGGAATAGAGAATACGTTTTCCATTGCATCAGAAGGGGTCATTATAGAGGAATGTGCAGGAGGGTCTGAGCCTCAGAAGGAAGAGATAGAAGAAGAGGGAGAAATTGTGCCATTTGAACAACCGACACAAGATGATGCTACTGGCATCACGAATGATGAACCTGATCCCTCCATGGAGGATCCAGGTCATGAGTCATCTCCCCAGGTTAGTATTGATCCTACTCCCTCTCCCCACTTTGATGTTGAGCCTTTGAATATGGTGGTGCCTGAGAGGAATCCTGACAGTGAAGAAGACGCAGATGATTTGGTTTATGCTATTTTTATCAGGGCTAGGACTAAGCCAGTGGCAACTTCAGAGCCACCTCCTAAGCGACCTACTACACGGTTGCAGCAAAAGGAAGCTCTAGAGTTTGCCCTCAAGAAGATTAAAAGGAGTCGGAGAAGGAGAAGGTTGGTCAAAGATGGAAAAGTTGTACAAGCAGAGGATGTTCCTGTAGTGGATGTGGATGATGAAACCAAAGAGGAACCTAGTTCCCTGAACCGCAAGCCTTCAAGGAAGAAGCACTCTCTCTCTCAATCCGAAAGGCACACCTCTAAGGGTGCTGAGAGTTTTTCCAAGAGTGCTGTTGCTGGTTCCAGTAAAAAGTTGGTAAAAAGTTCTGGTGACAAGACAATGAAGGAGCATGGTGACAAGTCTGATGAGGAAGAAGTGGTGAAATCTGGCAAACATAGATAGAACAAGTCAGTGGAGAAGGAAAAGTCTGTTGGCAAGTCAATGAAAAGAAAGAGAGATGATGATGATGAGGAACCTGGTTCCGTCAAGAAAGGAAAGTGAGTGAAACTCTCAAGTTTGAGAAAAGGAAGCTGGGGAATCAAAAAGTGCTGTGGGGCCGCACATTTGCCTCTGACATTCTAGAGAGTGCTGGGATGAGATAATTAGTGGATATATGTGACTCTCAACAGTGGACCAATTTGTTTACAAGTGAGGCTCCTATAGTGTATGAGGACGAAGTGCGGAGTTTCTACGCCATCCGCTTTACAGTAGATGGTGTCAAATCTATGTGTTGGTAAATGGGGTGAACATAGTGATGGACTCTGCCCTATTAGGGTGAATTCTGGGTGTTCCTACCGAAGGAGTGTCATCTGTTCAGGGTGTCTGCACACCAAACTTTAGAAATGCCATTGTCAAGGACAAGGCAATACAACATGGGGAACAAGTGTATAAGAAGGCACTCCTTCCAGTTTATCAGCTGCTCTTTGAGATGGTTAATAAAGTATTGCTTCCCCGCACTGAAAGAAGATCTGTTGCATCCAAAGCTGATCTATTCCTTATGGAAAATTTGGATATTTCTCCTCTATCAATTTGCCTGCCATAATGATTGAGCATATGCAGAAGGTAGAGAACCTCAAAGACGGGAATCCTAGACTGCTTTATAGGTTCCTTCTCACAAAGGTTTTTGAGTTTTTCAAAGTACCTCTGGGACAGGACAAAGTGGGCACCAAAAAGCAATCATTTTCAAAAACTACTCTAGAGGAGTGTGAGTGTATTGACAAAGTCGGAGGAGTTGGAAGCACTTCCAAAATCTCTCAACTGATAAATGCTCAGAATAGTGCCACGGAGGAGATCCGGAAGTTGAAGGCTAGGAACGCGATTCTTGAGAGTCAGCTCAGTCAGTTGCAAGAGGTACCTAGTTCTAGTGGTTCTCACAGCGCAGAGGTTGCACGCCTAATAAAGGAGAATGCTGAACTAAGGAAACAGGTGGAGGACCTGAAAGAAAGACTGCTCAATGAGCAAATGTCCACGAATGCTCGCATGGATCTTGTCCTCCAAACTCTTGCTTCCTCTTCCAAGCCCCTTTCCTCCAGTGTCCCTTTAAAGAATGTCACCTTAGTGTCTAGTTTCTAGTGTCTATCTTCTTAAGTTATTTTTGGTGATGTTTTTTTATTTCTGGTATGTGTTTTTTGTTTGTTCTAGACTGTGAATGAAAAATAATAATTCTGCTCCCGCTTGTAAAAGTCCAATTCTGGTTAATGAAAGTGATTTCCTTTTTGCTATCTATGCTGCTGCTCTTTTACTTCTGTCTTTTATCATGTTGTGAGCACATAAGTGGCATGAGTCAGCTATGCTAGACTTCTTTATGCTACTAACCTGTTTGTGCTTTTAATGATGCTAAAAGGGGGAAGATTTAATTGAATAATACAGATTCGGGGGGGGGGGGGGGGGGGGGAGGAACTCATTCAGGGGGAACTCACAAAAGTTAAGGTACTGACTAAAGGTGAATGCAGAGCTTCAGGGGGAACTTAAGGTCTTTCTGGTTCACAATCTGGTTCCTTTGTGGCTCCTTCTAGGATTTTCAATTATAAGTTTGTCATCATCAAAAAGGAGAAAATTGATAGGTTACAAGTACTTTGGTTATAAGTACTTTACTTTATGTTTTGATGATCTAACAAACTTACTATCCAGAACCAGATAAGGAACCTGTTAGACATTTACAAGATCACAAGGTTCTAGGTTGGGATTCAGCGTGGAATATGATTCAACTCCTAAGAGTGGAAGGAACAGCTGAGGGACCAGGTCCCTACCAGTTCCCGAGGAGACTGTACAAGTCAACTCTGCGGCTGGAAAGTTGCTGTCTGCACACGCTACAATGCAGGAACAGTGTTGCAGTCAACTTTCCAGGGAAGACTTTTTACCTACCTTGCTTGCATCATTACATGTGATGTCACCCATGTATATATGCATTCAAGGGAGGTAAAACAAAAGACTTGAACACTTAGAGATCTCATTTTAAGCTCACTCACGTGACTTTTGCAAACAAGTGTCAAGTGCTTCAAAAACAAAGAACAAAACAACTACGGACCAGTTCCCACATAGAGTCATTATAAGTCCTTAGTTGAACTGTAACTTTGCAAAATTTCTTTAATTGTAATTCCTATCTAGCTTGTTTAGAAGCATTCTATAGGAACCCATTTGTAAACCTTAAACCTACTTGTATAAGTGTTTGCTAGAGTTAGTCAAGTTTCAAAGTCTTTGTAATAGAGTTATTAAAAAGTGGCTTGTAACATGTGTGTTACAAGTTAGTGAGAGATTAAGAGTTTAATTTCTAGGTTGCATAGGTTGTAATCTGAAAGTTGCTCAGTAATAAAGTTGAAATCATACAAGGGTAGGTCGTGATTTTTAATCCCGTTGAGCTGGGAATTTTTCACATACCTGATAGAGAACCTGGTTCTCTATAGAAGTTGGTGGACCCTTACATTCTATCATTATTCATAATGCAGAGATTCCCAATTTTATAATACGTCTTAGATTCTAAATTGACAGATAGTACATTTTCATGGAACTCATTTACTAGTCAAATATTTGAAGGCGTGACATTGAGATGTCCTCTAGTACTGAATAAGAAACATAGTTGTCTTAATTTTGCCCAACGTGATTTTTCATTGCAGTTGGAGAGTTATCATTCAAGAATCAGGCAGGGACCTTCAAAATAATTCAATTATGAAGTGTCAAAACGAGTAAGGCTAACCGTGCAAGTACACAACAGTCAACAGTTATGAAATAACTATGAATCTATATAATGACGATAAAAAAAATTTACAGTTGAACTAGCAGTAATGATCCGAATTGGATCAGATCTTTTACACCGAGGAAAAAGAAAAAGATAATTCAAAATTTTAATTTACGTGCTCAAGGTTCTCATACTGTGGTCTAGTATGTAAGATTGACAAGTCAGTTTCTAGCCATAGAGAATCATATACTTCCTCCTCAATTGGAACATATGTAAAGATTTGAGAATAATCACTGCCCACTTGAAATTCAATAATTTTAATGTTACTGGGACTAGGGGAAGATGATATCTCTATATCCATCCAGCTAAAATCAACATCAATTAGTTCTGAGCTATCTTCACTGCCCATATTAGAAAATAGAAAGTCCCTATTGTAACTATCTAAATTTGGAGCAGCAGGATTATTTGTGATGAAATTTGGATCAAGCTCTGCTTCTAGAGATTGGATTACACTTCTTAATTTCTCATCATCGAAATATTCCGTCTGGGATTCATCAAGAAATGACATGAGAATGGTGCTATCGATTTCTGGTATCTCTATTTGATTTAATAAGTCAGTGTCATCAGCGTCAACGTTAATGCAGACGGGCCAGATTTCTGGTGCCAAATATGCCATGTTCTATGTAGAACAAAGAATATTAAGAGAAAAAGGGTTGGAACCTGGAATTGAATAGAGGAATTTGAAGAAAGTTTAAAACAACTAGGAATTTGAGAATGCCTATGTCAAGAAAGCAAACGTTTAAATAGATCAATTTTTTAGGTATGGCAGCACGTGGACATGCTTTGTCTTTGATTACTGGCAATGGCACCCCATGCTTTAAAAAGAGTATTGGGTAGCTTTTATTTGATTACTTTCATATCATGATACACGGTACATGAATATTACGTATCTATATACATCTTGTAATACATTCTTATCAAGCTAGATTCATTGCCCCACTGCTGTCCTATTATGGCCTAAAATATAGTACTCCCTCCGTTTCAAATTAAATGAGCTAGTTTGACTCGGCACGGAGTTTAAGGAAAAAAAGAAAGACTTTTGAAATTTGTGGTCTTAAAAGTTTAAGGGGTAAAGCTTTGTGGGGTCATGACTTTTGTGTGGTTATAAAAGCTTCTCATTAAGGGTAAAATGGGTAAAATGAGGAGTTTAAAGTTGAATTATTTCCAAATTTAGAAATATGTCATTTATTTTGGAACAGACTAAAAAGGAAAGTACCTCATTTAATATGAAATGGAGGGAGTATAAGATATGCATTAAAAGGAGTTCATGAAAACATGAATATTACTTATAAAATAGAATAAGAAAGTTTAGCTCCATTATTTGAAGGATGTACATTGAATCAAAATTCTGAACCTGCCAACTATATTGCTACACAATATAATGTTTATCCAAACACTTCTGACCCACTATGTTTAATTTGAAGTACTTCCATGTACCTGGACCATGCGTTTGTCATACCTGCAGACATGAGAAAGGAAGGAAGATAAAAGGCTTTAAAAATGAAATAAAACAAAAGAGATAGTCATGGTGAGCCGTCATCGATCACGTGTGGGTTGGCCCTGAATTGCTGCCTTGATATGATATACCACCAAATGGAAATTTATGGAGTATTGAATCGGATATCTTTACACAAATAGCTTCTCTATTTATTTTTCTCAACCGTATATATAGATTATACATAGTATTCATAAATTATATAAATTTATATATTCATCGGCTATTTTTAATTTAAGTGGTTGAGTGGACGGCTATTTAGATTAATTCTTTTATTTATGTTAAATTTAATCTCAATGCATATAGAGTGATAATTGTTTAACCAAAAAATAGGAATTTCGGTCAAAGCCTATTTTTAGAAATACTCGAGTTACTGATAATCAAGAAAATCGATATTCTTGCAGTAAGAAAGGAAATCAGAATAACAAAGTAATCAGTAGAAAGCAGAAGTAAATGATTGTATTCCAATAATAATCAGAATGTGTCCATAGAAATGATATTTCTTTTCCTTATATAGTCATCTCTAAGTACAACGTCTTTTTACTTTTATGATCGAGTCGTTATGAGCATTAATGACATCAATGAAACTTTATAATTGGTAATCGTAACTGTTTCGTGAAAATTCTATAACGTTTCTAATCATTCATGCTCATTAATTGAAGACCAATGAATCTGTCCTTTTTATTGTCTTGGTTCATTTCACCGGTGCCTCTTCAAATCGCCAAAGAGACTCGAGCTACCGTTTCTTCTCGTCTCTTAGACGTTTTGCTCATACCTGTTAAGACTCGTGTCTTTTTTAATACTCTTCTCCAACTGTCGCTTTTCTAGTGATCCACATGTCTTGCCATGTCAGCCACATAATTAATTCCACGTGTAATATTTATTTTTTCAAAAACAATCATAATTATTGTAGGAAAACTGGTAAATTTATTATCATGACTATGAGTATGCACTTAGGAAGAGTAAAACCCTTGTTACGAAATCATATTTGCACTTGTAATTTAGTTATTGAATGTTAGTTGCATTTAGGCATTAATTAAAACTGTTCCTTGAGTTAAATGAAGAAATGAATCAAGTTAATCATCAGTCAACTTGTTTGAGATCTATTTAAAAAGATTTTCGCATATCGTTTACTCTGTAGTTAAACTCCCTTTAATACTACTTTGCGCTGTATATGTGTGACACCCAAAATAAATCACTTCAATTTAACTGCTTTTGAGCTAAAAAGAATAAATTTATACTGGTCAGCAAGGATAATCTTTTTTAATTAGCTATTTTATGAAGAAAAAAGGCTAACAGATTCTAGGCGTTTGAGATCTGCGTAGGATTTCATTATATTATATATATGGGGTAATGTTTGAATTTGTATTACAAATTAAGTGCCTGGTGCACTATTGTTGAATCATATTATAGGGGTGCTAAAAATAGTTTACTCCAACTTTAATAGCATAGAGTAGTTTATTCTAAATTAATTCTGATAAAAGTTGCCGGATTGTCAGTTGTCGAAGAGATTAACACATAACGGCAAAGAGCAAGGGAACGGCCGGGTGTGATATAGACCGTCTAACATAATCTCGAACTTGTGATCGATCGGTACTTTATCGTTGTTCCTAGACTCCCTCTTTTAACACACATAGTACTAATATTCTATAATCTCTCTGTTCCATCTCAGTCTATAGAGAAATACAGTAGGTACGACTAAGGAAGGCAGTCAGCTAGATAAATCTCCATTATTTTCCTCCCGTGAATCTCCAAATTCGTATAATTATTATATCGTCGTAATGGACTTGATGGTGCGGTGATAGTGGTTTATTTGTGTTTGACTCAAAAGATTTTTGATTCTTCTTTTAAGCAAATCAATCACGGATGAAGGGGTAAATCTTAGCCGAAGATAATAAACTCTAGGATGTTGATGGTAGAGAGAGAGTGAGAGATATAACAAGAAAGGTAAGGTAATAAAACTGTATATTCCACAAAAACTCTCTGCCCTTTACAAGACTCGAACCTATCTTATATAGAGAGAGATTTTCCTTAGTCGTGGAAACGACAAATTAGGGACTACCTACTGCGCCAAATCCGACGCTACTATGATGGCGTCACTCTTTCCACCTCTGGGTCGTACCCCTATGCCGACTCATAGGTTTTGGGTTGCTGGTCGTATTCGCTACAGGCCGTGGTCGGTCAAATTCGGACCTATACAGTTAGTCCCTTCGTTCGTCGAGGTCGCAACGGGGTGCGTCCTTGATGAACGGACTTGATGCCCTCCCTTAGGAGGAATTTGACTCGCTGAGATATTACGACGTGATCAGTGAGGGGCGGTAGTCATATATGGCGAGAAACCTAAGAGTGCACGCTATCCCGGATGATGTCAGCCTTCGTATGCGTCTCATTATGCGGGTTTTCGAGGCAACAGACTGACGGTTCGGCGCTTGGTTCCCTGCGCTGATTTGAAACCTGCCGCCTCGATTCTGGCGCCACCCAACCCTATAAATAGATGAAGGGTTCAATTCCTTTGGAAAACTTTGGCCATTCTTGATAATTTTCTGGTCTTCTTCTTCTGCTTTCATATCTCCTTCGTTCTCATTCATGACCGGAAGTTCTCATATCTTTCACTCCATTCTCATAGCTCGTTCCCTTTAAACAAAATCATGTCGAGATCTCGTCGTGTTAACGAAGGGGTTCCTAAGGCCGCTCCGTCGAATGCAGCCCCTCTTTCCGACAGCGGAGAGGTGGAGGTAGAAGAGGGTGACATCCCTCTTATAGTGGAGGCTCTACTACCGAGGCATCCCCTGTCTCGGAATGACTTCCCCAAGGATCCGCCTCTTACTCCGAACGCTGTGCTCTCTGAGACGGATCAGATTCACCTTGATGCCCTCCGCATAAAATATGGTATTCCCGCCCACGTAGAGATGATTTTGGCGGAGGGGGACTACGCGACGTCCACAGGCCTGGATACTGCGCCTTTTATGAATACCCCTTTATGATTGGTTACACCCTTACCCTCTTTCCTCTAGCAGACGAGTTCTGCAGGTTTATCATATTTGTCCGGCTTAGCTTACGCCGTATACGCTAAAGGTGCTTCTGCTGCTGGCTAAGTATGCGGAATTGGGGAAGTGCGGCGTCTCCGTTCATCATCTCCTGCATTTATTTTCACCCGATTTCCTTAGGGGGACCATGGTGCACCTGAGACTTCGTGGTACGAAAGGACTGGTGGTTGGGACCGATGACTGGGCAAGCCGTAAATTTTGGCATAAGTACTTTTTCATCAAGACCGAGCACGTTGTCTCTAACCCCACCAGCTTCCCAGAGCGGTGGAATAAAGCCCGTAAGTGTCGTACCTCACTGAATTCCCCCATCTTCCCCACTCATTGTAACTTATGATCATTTGTTATTGCAGCTATGGCTCGTCCTCCCCAGCCTGTCATTGGTCTCAGGAACTGGGTCGCTGGCCTGTTGCCCTATGCGGAGGAGATGCGAACTTGGTCCGCTTTCGTACAACGTTATGGTCCTAAAGTTTCCTCAGGTACCTTTTTTTTACCTTGTTGGTTGTACGACTTCGCTTAACTGTATAACTCTTTGTGACGACAGGCCGGGGAGCTTCTAGGCGAAGGGCACCAGTCCTGGCTTTCAGGTGACCCGTTGCTACCATGGACACTCGCTACATCTTAAGCGAGTGGTTCCGGGAGGGTCGCCCTTTACTCCTTCAATCGGGGGAGGGGTCTAGGACCGCGACCATGATAGAAGCGGCCTCGTTGGCACTGCCTCCGCGTCCTGTTGAAGAATCTTCTAATGGTGACGAGCCGTTAGAGAGAAAACGGAGGAGGTTGGAGCTAGGAAAGGGTGTGGCCACTGAGGCTAATGGAAATGGCACATCTCGGGCGGCTCCGGCGCCCGTTTTTATGGCTGATGCCATTAGATCGGGGAGGTTACCCCGAGTGGAGAGAGTTAGAATGGGAGCCAGTCCAGTGCATCCCGCTGAAGGGGGGGCGTCGTCCTATGTTGGAGGAGCTCATGTGGAGGAGGGCGAATCGGGTTCTGATGTTGCCTCGGAGGACGTGGATGAGTTTTTGGGTCGCCACACCCGTGTGGAAGTGATGACGGATGGGTTCGACCATCATGTAATAATTCCGGGAAGTTACAACTTGTTGCTGAATAGCGAGCAGGTTGCGTTGGCTCTTGCCCCTTTATGTGCCGCTCCTGAAAATGAAACGCTTGGGGTGATGAGTGACGCGGAGTTATCTTGGAAAGTCGCCGGTATGGCCTTGCAAGTTGGTTCCCCTTCCTTTTCTTTATATCGTATGGT